TGTTACCCTTTAAATTTCAAAAGTTGCTATAAAAAAAAAGTAAGTTGTAACGGGTTAAAAAAAAATGTGGACCATTGAGATCACATCGTATAAAATCAAAATGAAAAAAAAAATTATTTTTAAGCCCAGTGAGATATTGACTGGTTCGTGATAAAAGAATTACCCTGTAAAGTACTAATATAATAATCTATATACAAAATTTTAAGTTCATTATCCCAATATATTTACTAAATAGATATTAAGAGATTCACGATAAAATTAACACCCTGTATAATAGTTTGATCATTTTAATTGGTAATGATAATAATGTTGTGCTTAAAAGTGAATTTTAAGTATTTGGTAGGTGAGGTCAGGTTTAACCGGTTTGCCGCTACAATAAATTCAATCGTCGTAGTAGCTATGCTAATACTAAAAGCATCGCAAAGCCTAATAGTTTGTATTAAGCTGGGTTTACACTAGGATAGTATTCGGCCGAGTTACTAAAGCAAATTGCTAAATCAAGTACTAAATTGAATCTAGTTAATGTCTATACACGGTATAGTAAAATTATAAGTTCTTCGTATTAGTAGTATATTTAGTCGGGCGAAAGTAAAAAAAAATGTTTTTTTAAATGTGTTTTAGGTTATTAGGGTTCACAGTTAATATATAATATTATAACTAATACAATATAATATACATAAAAAATATGGATAAAGCAAAAACAGTGACGTTAATATCAAAACGATGCTTAGTGATTTGATGATTAGCGAGGAATTATTAAATTTTATAAAAGAGGAACTAGATAGGAAGCTGTAATGAAAAATCCAAAGACATTCGTGCTGTCGATATTCTTCTACAAACTTAAGGGTCGTATCTTCATTAAACTTATGGCTTTATATTTAATTATTAATTTCCAATACAAAATATATTATGTAACGCATAATATATTATGTGACAAAAAAACACAGACAATATTTGTATAGTGATGAGTGATAAAGTATTTTATTATAACGCGATAACGTATAATCGCGCTGTTTTAACAAAAATTATCAGCGGCAGTGGTGTTTACAATGGTTTAGTAGATAAGCAAGTGCTAGTGGAAATACCAACTTGGTAAAAAAATAGAGATGATTTCTAATCGCTCGACTAAAATGTTTACTAGAAGCGACACTGAAATTACTACTAAATGATATTTCCACATCTTTCAAGCAATAAAAAAATTAGCAACTTGCTATAGTAACTCGATCGAGTACTACCTAGTGTAAACCTGCCTTTAGATCGGTATTTAAAAAAAAGCAGAAGTCAATCTCGAAATTACAACTAAAAGAGAAAACATTTTGCCGTTGTTTTTCTAAGTTTTGAACAGGAAGTGATGAACTTTTTTAATTTTCGGGCCAATTAAGTACTTCTGAGCTATGAAAATATCGCTAACTTGTATATTATTGCTTTAGTTGTATCACCGTTGAATTATATCTGTACATACAATGATGGATTGGCGCAATGTTCGACTTACCACGAGCCTCGTCAGGAAACCCAAAAATCTATTGTAAATGATGACCACGGTCAGTCGCCATATGATTAACATCTTCGTGAACTTCGTCGTGGATTTTTGAATGTTACCGTCCGGCTATTGTTTTTTTTTTATCAACTCTAATAAAAAGTAAAAACTTTGAATTTTTCTTCTATTACCCAACGAAATACGACCGCGCTGCATCACTGAGAGTCGATACACTGGTTGCACAATGCTATTGACCGCGTGGACCGTGACCGTGTGTATAGCAGATAGCCATCCGCTTTGCCTTACCCCTCCCTCGGGTTCGCCACAGTTATATTATGATTACTCCTGAAATCCTGCCTACCTACTCGGTAGTTGTTAAATCAGGCCCTGGACACTGATTACAATTTATTTTATATACTTACACTTACTTTGGAGCATCTATACATTTTCGCATGATAAACTTTAAACGCAATTTTCTCAAAATCCTTTTTTTTCCAAACGGGCTTTCACGATAGGTAGGGAAAAAAGTATTTGACCTAATGATGCAATGATGGATTTTATTAATTGGTAACATTTTCTTTTAATTTATAGTATATAGTATAAATTAATATCAGAAGTGTTTTCACAAGTCTGTTAGTAATAAAAGCAAAACCATTTGTTTTTTAATGATTGACATACCCATAGAAAACATACAATCGAATGTTTTATTATAATATTTTATATAACTATAACTATATAAGTAAATTTAATGTACAAATTCCATACTAAATATTAATGTTACTTATACATCCTTAATCAATGTTTAAAATATTTGCCAAACATAAATTGATATTTGTTTGTTTGTATACAATGTATTTATATATGGAGTCCTTAACCAGTTATTAGTTTGTTAACTTTATTTCATGTAAAAATATGACCTAACATCGTTTGTGTTAAATCCTAATGAACTCAAGACTTGTAAATGGTAACATATTAATTATTTCAACATTTTTAATTGTGAAAAATTTTCTGAGGTTTTTGAATATTTATTTTAATTTAGTTTTTAAGTTATTGTGGTATAACATTTAGGGCGGGATGAAAGGTGAAGTATAGTATATATTTTTTTTATCTGCGTGCATCACTCTAATGGAATCTAGGAAAATAACCGATGAAAATTTTATTAATTTGATTCTATATGTTATTACAATAAAATAAATATTAATAAATCAAATAATATATGTCGATGATTTAAATATAAAATGTTTTCTATTAGAATGTACCTTTTTTTTGTGTGAACTATAATTTAATATATTATCACATACGATGATATATGTATGTACACGTGGGAATTTAAATTACCAATATTGTGTAATTTTCTGAATAGTTTGGCTCATTGTTTAAATCTAGTAATTAAAACTAACATGAATAGTAATTACTTTTAGCTTCGATGCGTAGCTGAGAAGGTATTGTTTTTACAATGATGTGTTTTTTTAAAATTATTTTAATTTTTGTGTCTGGACCCACGATATCTTGTAAACCGCTAAACTGATTTTTTCGTGTAGCAATTTTATAGATCAGAAATCATACCTGTTAGGTACTGTAAAGTGGCCAAAAATTAAATAAGTCACCCCTTCTCCATCAAAATTGAGAAAAACACCTAAACAATTTACAAATTTTGCAACTTAAAATTACGATTCTCTATAACTTTTTTAAAAATATTCGAAAATGTTCCAAACTTATGTGGATTGTTCTTCAAACATAGTACTAGAGTTTTTTTGAAAGTGATTTTATCACTTTCAGTTATACTAAAATCTGTAGACCTGTGACCTCTCCGTTCCCACTATGCCCCGACCCGACTGTACTGGCTTTTTTTTAAAAATTCAAATGTATTATACATTTTTTTTGTCTGTGCTAACTATAATTTAATATATTATAGGATACGATGATATATTAAAGCTAATATGACTAGTTACTATAATAAAAGATAAGATTATGAAAAATTTGAATAATTATAAATAAACCATTATTCAAGTGTAATAACTCTATCAGAACGTAGGTAATAAATATTTAAAACAATTTGCATTATTCATAAAATCATAAGCTACACTTAAGGATATAGTAGAGGTCATATTTTATTAAAATATTAATACTTTATTTTGATTATTTATATTAGACAATAAAAAGTTTTACATCATTCTACAAAACATAACATAATACAATTTTATTAATATAATTCAATAAGGTTCAATGAATTAAATTTAAAAAACCTTCAATGATCGTCAGTCCAAATTTTGTACACTTTTATTAAGGTTTTGTAATTAGTAATTTTTGAATTTTGGTAACTAGCCAGTGATATATTTTAGCCATGCAGCCAATTGTATTAAATAACGAACTTTTTTTAAACTAAATTTTTTATAGTTAAACTGAAAAAAAATATTAAAAACTAAGCAATGTATAAACCAGCACAGAAGAGGTTTGCAAAGTTGGTTTATATAAATTATTAAGTATAAATGTGATTTTATCAAAATTAAACGCTTAGATGCGAACCTTGAAATAGGAAGAATCCAGCACAATATAAACAGACTTGTACATAGATTTTCGCACTTCATCGCCGCCTTCAGAATACATTTTTCTAAATAAACTATTGAAATCGTTGTCGTCATCGTATTTTGCGTTTTTGCTGACTAGTTTGCCCCAATTGCGTTTTTCATTGCTTACACTGGTGTGGACTTGACGGTATATATCAATGTGTCCTATCATTCCGATTCAGATTTGGCAAGAACTACTTCCAATAGTATATTATATAATTTTAATAAATACAAATTCGATTATTTTGATATGGATACAAACCACAATATAATATTAATATCGTCGAGAACTTAAGTATGGGCTATACCAACAACAGTCAATATTTGTGAATTTATTTCCTTTTAAGTATATCACAACTTAATTTGAGTTTAATTTAATTAAAATGTTTAATTAGATAAATACGATTTTCTAAAATAAAGGTATTAGCTCTTAGGTAGTATGTATGTATTTGTTTGTATAAAATAAAAATAAAAGTAAAGGCTTTCAAATTATTTTACAGAAGTTTTGGTATTATGGGTGACCAGGAAGACGAGTCTAAAGAAAACGATAATGTTCTCGAATTTGAAAATGTGGAGCTGAAAAAGTAATGAGTACTCCACCGACGATGTCAATAAAGATAACAAGCAACAAACTACATATACTCTATTCAGAATAAGAACAGTCTTCGGCAGCTGACTTGTGCGCATGGGCGTGGCTTCACTACGAGCAACGGACCTCGAACACTGCCGCCGGTGGGGCTACAGACGAAATGTAAAATGGGCGGTGCCTGACCGCCAACCGACGAAAACTGGTCGGCCGCCGAAGCCTGTTCTTATTCTGAATAGAGTATAAGTATAATACAAATTATAGATAATGACGATAAGTCACAACAAAATGTAATAAACATTTAACACAATATATATTTTAAGGATATTATAAGAATAGTAGTTATACAAATAAATTCATAATTATACAGATGATCACCTAAAAGTAATATATAATGAATACTAATAATATATGTTATAACACAACATTATAGCATTTGATTTAATTTTACTAATTCGGCTAAGTGTTTCCAAAATTTTACTCTGGCTTCGTTCACTTAGCTTTTGTCCATATCAGTACCGTCACCATAGATTGATAAATACTTAGTTTTTTTTCAAATTTGTACAGCCCCATTTGACTTTAAGATCTGACGAATTCGGGTTTCTAAAAGTAAAATTGTTTTATTCCAAAAGTTATAGTTTTATATTAAAAACACATATAACGAACCTTGTTTTTGATTATACGAGTATCGTTTCGCAAAGCCCTGCACGAGTTCAAGTGTTATTCAGAGTTGTTGGCCATGGATAAGTAAAAAAACAATAGCCGTGGTAGAAAAAGAAAAATCTAGAATCGAAAAAGATTCAGTTAACAACAGTATTCGTCCGGATATAACCAACCTTACCAACAGTATACATTCACTGGCCAAGACTATACAAACTAGTAGTAGGATACTTGAACTTTCAATAATAAGCACTTATCGAATTAATTCGATAACACAGTATCGAGTTACACAATAGAACTACTGGCCATGACTATGCAAACTAGAAGTACCCAGCTCAGACAAACTAAAATCAATCGTAAGCCTCGTGTTTTTAGAAGAGTGTATATTAAAGATGTCAATAATATTATTTACCAGTTCGTAAATTGTAATATAGACAATCATTTCATTACTTATAAATAAAAATTGTAGAAAGTGACGATAAATTAGAACAAAATATATTAAATATTTAACCTAACACACACACACATATATATATATTAAGGATATTATAAGAATAGTAGTTATACAAATAAATTCATAATTATACCCATAATCACCTAAAAGTAATAAATAATTAATACTAATAATATACATTTATCGCAGAACATCACAGCTTTTGATTTAATTTTACTAATTCGTCTAAGTGTTTCCAAAATTTTACTCTGGCTTCGTTCACTTGGCCCTCGACCATATGAGTATCGTCGCCGTCAATTGAAAGATACTTAGGTTTTTCCAAACTTGTAAAGTCCCATTTGACATTAAGATCTGATGAATTCGGGTTTCTAAAAATTATATTGTTTTTATTTTAACAGTTTTTGTGTAATAAAAAAAACACCTATAACAAACCCTGTTTTTGCAAAGTTAGTCCATAATTTACACATTGTTCTGCACACACTTAGTTCTTTAGAATTTGGTTTAGGCATAAGTGCAATAATTTTACCAAAGAATAAATACCACATTTCATCACCGTGACACGCTCCTGTCGATACATAGTATTAATTAATATTCGACATTGATCGTTTACTCTGAATAATGAGCGAAATATCATTTTTCAAAAGAAACACCAATTATTTTATAACGAGGAAGGATTTGATGCAATACCTATTTATTTACATTAAAAAAAGTGTAATTTAAAAACATAACCAACTACATAAAAAACGACCAATAGTCTAAAAACGCTTAAAAAAGTTTTTTAAACGATTTTTTTTATGTAAAATTAACCAAAAAATTAAGTTGTTTGAGTTATGTCAAAAATTATAAAACTGATAATGTGTACCTTTTAAGGTGAGAAATTTCGGTCTTGTACAAAAAAAAAATGTTTTAACATTAAGTTCTCCGTCAAATTTAAATTCATAGTTGTAAACGGGTGTAATGCCTTCTACGATTAAGTCGTTGAATCCTTTGTAGAAATCTTTGGCGAAAAATACATCAGTGAATAGCTGAAAAAATGTTTTAAATAATAGATTATTATCATCATTACAAAAAATTAACATCTAGAAGTCTATTTCGACTTATAACTTGTTACACTTTTAATATTCTAAACACAAATGTTTGTTTACAGACAAAACGTAAAAATAAAGTACTCATACTTAAGAACTTTATTTTAAAAGTTCAATTCATTGAAGGAGTAGATCTACCATTAACAAGACGTACTTGATCATTGGTTCTAATATTGATGCAGTTTCTTGTAAGAAAGACGGGCATTATTTTTAACCCGGATCTAAACTACCATTCCCATATATAATCATTTTGCTATAGAGCGTTTAAGGTGTTAGGATTTATTATACGTACATCAAATCAATTAAAGTTGTCTAGTTCGCTTAAAATTGTCTATTGCTCTCTTGTAAGGTCTCTTTTGGAATATGGTTCTGTCCTTTGGGACCCCTTTACGACGGCTGACTCCTCTCATTTAGAGCGAGTTCAGAGGTGGTTTTGCTCTTCAGCAGCTTTTATTCTAAAAAGTACCCACCCTCCTTATGACTACAGTATAGTTATGGATAAGCTCGGACTGGTTTCCCTAGCTGACAGAAGAGTGGAAGCAAACTTGGTGTTTTTGCGAAAGTTGAATGATGGACGAATTGAATGTTTCTCTCTCCTTTCCCAAATATATTTTAAAGTCCCTTCTCGTGCCACTAGATCTAACTTTCAGTTTGTTGTTCCGTTTCACAACTCGAACAATGGTAGGAACCATACTATCCATCGAATGATGCGTCTTAGCAATGAGCACCTAAGCTTTCTATAACCCATTATGTGTAAAATTGTTTTTGTCTTTTTGTTTTTTTTTTGTTCGTGTATTATAAATTATAATGTAAGTTACTGAGCTGTTAATTTATCTATACGTTGTGTTATTTTTACTCTTATTCTATTGGGCTCAAGCCCGCTAAATAAATAAATAAAAAAATTACCGCGCAAATACTTTCTAATTCCTCAATCTTAGTTTGGAAATCGTGACCATTAAAGTAAAACGATTGGATCTTATTTATGACTTCATCATATTTGTCATCGTCATCGAGTAATTTACTTATTTCTTCGACTTTATTAAAATTCATTATTTGTCTCGATTTATAATCTAAAAAAATAATAATAATCATTCATGACGCAACGATTAAAGTATATAAAATTGTATGCTACTAACTGATAAAATCTTTTAATTATTCAGTTTTCATATGATAAAAGTACTAACAACATGAACTCAAAACCAAAACATACAGTTGAACTTAGTTAAGGAGAATATAAAATAAAATGTAAGCACTAAAGCAATTACATTTAATCGGCGATGATGATAATTTGTAGCACAATAACGTGAATTACGTCTTGTTAGTTTACATTTGCAGCAACCTAACAAATATCATTTTACATGTGGCTGGTGATGATCAGACAAGCATTATATTATGTAATTTTAAAAAATTGTTTAAACTTTTACATTTTATTTTATCGCATTGTACATATTTTTTTATAAGTGATATAAGCCTGTCTAGTCTTTTAACTAATTATACAAGTAACACATTATTCATTAATGGAGCTTTACGGTATTTCATGCAAAATTAATAAAGAAACTTATTTGCCTTTAAACATAAACATTCCTTCTCTGTCGTTAAGTCCACATATTAAAGGAATTGAAGAGGCTGTTTTCAACAGCTCCTCTGGATGAGCTGGTATGAATCTCTCACTAACTTGATCGCTTTCAATGGATGGAACAAATTGGTAAATCAAAATTTGTCTTTGGTCCTATGAAAAAAAAAAAATTATATTATCAAACAGCCAATAAAAAATTAATTTGACCTACTGTACAATTTATATTTTAATATAAAACAAATATTGTTACTGTAGTTTGTTTCCATTAATTATTAAATAGATTTTATTGAAGTTGAACGCTCGATGTTTGAAGTATTATCGTAAATTCAATCACAGTTATTTTGCTATAGTAATATTTTCACGTAAATACGTACTTGAAATGTAGATTTGAACATAGAAGCCTTTACCAAGTCGTTTACAGGAACTTTTCTTAAATATTGTACTATTTTGTGAGGGTCGTCTGACGGACAACCCAAATCCGCCGCTATTTTGAGCGCAGCGTTTTTGTGTTTCGAAGTAAATGCCCAAGGATTAAGAACACAACCACTTTGCATAATAGCCCTTTGGAACACACCTAAATCACCCGATTCCAAAAAACTATTTTGATAGTATCTAGCCGCCTTAGAGTATAAAAAAACATTTACCTTTTGATGATGCAGAGAGTATATGGTAATGGATCGACGCTGATCCAGCGCTCTCGCCAAAAACTGTTATGTTATTGGCATCGCCTCCAAATGCTGATATGTTTTCTTTTACCCACTTAAATGCAAACAATTGATCTTTTAACCCTATGTTTCCGGGACAATCATCGATATCCAAATTTAGAAATCCTTTTTTGTTAAAAAAAATTGTATAATTATGAATTACCCAAATAAAATATTAAACATATAAATATATGTTAACTAAATATTTATGTAACGTGAATATAAGGTTCCTGAATTCTCTTAGTATTTTACCTAAAACATTAAGGCGATAATTAAACGTGACCAAGATTACGTTTTCTTCGATTAAAAAGTCTGGGGAATATAAGTCTGGCGATCCTGAACCGTAGTTAAATGCGCCTCCATGCACAAACACCATTACAGGTTTCATTTTATTTAACTCCTATGAAAAAAAATTAAAAATTATGTTATTGAAATTCATTAATTTGATAACGCGGTTTTTTTTTTTACGTACTTGCGGCACATATATGTTCAAGTATAAACAATCTTCGCTTCCGACAATTCTTTTCTCTATCATTTCATCGTATTGTACACATTCTCTTTTTTCTGAAAAAGCTTTGTAAACTCCGGTCCATCCAGGGTGTTTGACTGGTGGCTACAATAATTAGTTATATTTATACAAAGTTATTAGTAAATAATTTTTTTCTGGGTATAAATTACAAGCAACATACTGCTAATTACCTTAAATCTTAATTCATCGATGGGCGGCTTAGCATAGGGTATCCCTAAAAAACTGACAAATGGTTTGTTCGACAGGCAGGTCTTGTAATATTGACCTAGTAGAGCTCCTTGTTTGATATTAATAATCACTTTTCTTCTCGGCTAAACAACAAAAAAATCTGTGTTCAATACGGGTGGGTTTAATAAGAAATTAAATGTTTTTTGTTGATATTGTTTTTATTCAATATGACCTCAATTTTCACAATTTTTTTGTCTTTACTTCCCTCCTAACTTGGTTTTTTTATAGCCACTTTTGAAACTAAAATGGTAACGTATATATTTTGTTAACTTTTTAAATTGAGAGTAATGTATTAAAAATGTTGACTAGTGGATAACCATTTTGGGATAACTATTTTTAAAGTTTTAAGAGTTTTTAAGTTATGATGGGAGGGGAAGTGCGGTTGGGAAATGCGCGCAGATTAAAATAATACCTTCACCTTTCCTCATGTCCTAAACTTGAAACTTTAATAACTTTTTTATTCAGTTTATTATAAGTATAGTATAAGGCTTGGAAATTTCAATGTCGGGCGATGTCGGGAACCATCTTAAAGTTTGGCTTCTAACGTAGGGTGACCACACGTCCCGTATTATACGGGATTGTCCTGTATTTCAACTTTGTGTCCCGTTGTCCCGACAAAAGTAATACGGGACGCATTTTGTCCCGTTTTTCCAAGTCCGTCCCGTATTAATGCCGTTTTTTCCATACCGTTAATTTATAATTTCTGAAATTTATTTTACTATAAAATCGTTTTGTTTACGATATTTTTGTACAACATTATTCAATATGGAATATTAAAATCTATTATTTTTCAGTGGTAGGTTATTTTTTGATTCTTATTTTGATTATAACTGTTGCGTCACATTGTTGTCGGTGATATAAAACGTATATAATGTCATAATACCATAATAGTGTTATATTTTCGTATATTTTGATATCATTGGATTATTATTAGAACAATCTCACTGGTCGCGGCCAGTTCGTTATCTACAATATTATTAGATCTATGTATCATTGTAAATGTTATTTGTTATAATATTTGTACTCCTTCAGTCTACATTTTGTCCGTCGTAGTAATAGTGTTCAGTCGTAGTGGTGTCATTTAAAATATACAGTTTGTTTATTTTTTTCTCACAATGCCGAAAAGGAGGTGTGTTTTTGCTCCAAATTTAAAATCCAAATTTCCTTTTTTAAAAGATGCTGATGAAGTTGGCAAAGTGTTTTTTACAATATGTAAATCGGTATTTTCTATAGAACATGGTGGACTTAGGGATATTCGCATTTCATACAGTTGTACACAATCACTCATTTCGATCGATGGATTGCACATAATCTCTTTTAAAACAAATTTATAATAAAAAATTCACTTGTGCTCGAACTAAGGCTGAATCGTTTGTTTTAAATGTGCTAGCTCCTTTCGCCATGCAACAGATTTGTAAGGAATTAGAAAATATGAATTTTGCTACTATCATGATAGATACTTCTAACCATAAAAATCTGAAAATCGTACCCATTTTATTACGTTATTTTAATCCAAATCTGGGAGTACAAATTAAAGTTTTTGAAGTGACAAATTTAAAAGGAGAAACAGCAGATATTTTATCAAATTACATAATTGAATGTTTGAAAAAATACAAGTTATTGGATAAAATTATTGCATTTTCTGGTGACAATTGCAATACTAACTTTGGAGGTATTTTACGAAAAGGAAAAAAAAATGTTTTTTCAATCTTAAATAATAATTTAAAAACGAATATTAATGGGATAGGTTGCGCTGCTCATATTTTGCATAACGCAATTCAATCAAGTACTGATATGTTACCTATTGATGTAGAAATTATAGTGAACAAATTTTTTCAATTTTTTCATATCTATACAGTTCGAGTTGAACATTTGAAAGAGTTTTGCGAATATGCAAATGTCGAATATAAAAACATACTTGGAAATGTAAGAACTCGTTGGCTATCTTTATTACCGGCCATAACAAGAATTATTGATATTTACCAAGGTTTAAAATTATACTTCGAAAAACAGGAAAAGTGTCCAACCATTTTAAAATCTTTTTTTAATGATCCTATGTCTAAAGTATGGTTTTATTTTTTGCAAAGCCAATTCAAAGTTGTCTGTGATACTGTGACAAAAATAGAAGGAGATAAAATATCAGCATGTGAAGTTGCAGAGGAATTAGAGATTTTGGTTGGAAAAATAAAAAGTAGAAAAAATCAACATTTTCTTACATCAAATATTTTATCGATTTTAAATGATTTGAAAAACAATAATATGTATGATCAAAACTCATTCAAAAAAAGTACTGATCTATTTTATAATACTTTTTTATCTTACATAGAAAAATGGGGTTGCCATTTTGACGAGTTTAAAGTATTTCGTTGGGTTCAATTAAGAAATTGCCCTACTTGGGAAAATGTTCAAAAATGTATACAATTTCTTATAGAAAAAAACCAAAATAATATAAACCTGGAAAACTGGTTGAAGATAATTTGTTTGACGAATTCAGTCATATTGAACAAGTTTTTCAATCACGAATAAATGAATGGCAAAAAAGTTCAGCTAAATTGGAAGTTAAGTGGTGTGAAATATTTGAGTACACTAAAGCTCATAACATTGACACAACTAACATATCAGCAATTGTAGAATATGCTTTAGCAATGCCGGGTACAAATACTGCAGAAGAAAGGATTTTTTCTACCATTAATGTCTTATGGACGGACGAAAAAAATCGTTTTTTAGTTGAAACTATAAAATCAATTATCATAGTGAAAACACATTTTTCAAACTATTCTTGCAATGATTTTTATAATATTTTATTAAAAGAAAATAAATTACTTGATGCAATTAGTTCAGCACAAAAGTATACAAAAATAGCAGAATAAGACCAACCCATCGTCATCAAAATAAATATTTTTGTGTTCTTGCTTACGTACGAATATTTACTAACCATATTTTATTTATATATAAAAAACATGATACAGTACAAATTAAATTTAAATTTGTTTTTTTATATTATTATATTTAGTTAGGTAACTTATATAATACATGTATAATCTTAATTCTTAACTAGTTCACCATTAATATCAAAATAAAATTGTTTTCATGTATCTACTATATATTTAAAAAATTATTCATCAGATTATTTTGTTTTTTGAAATGTCCCGTATTTTTATTTTATTTTTATGGTCACCCTATTCTAACGAATAGTTCTCACCTCCAGTATTAATGCTAAGCTAAAAGTTATTGTTTTTTAAATTATGTGGTTTTATTATTAACAAATATTGAAAACCTTTTCCACCAGATGAGGTAGAATGTTTTTGTTTATATCTCTTCAGCAAGTGTTTAAGGCATAAAGTCTGTTTTTTTGCATTGTGTCATATAATTAAACAAGAATTTTTTTTTGTACAGTGGTTTAAAATATACTTATTTTCATACATTTTTCTATTTAATGCAGAATTAAATTGTCTGGTTTCACAATGTAAATAAAATATTCTTGTTTTATATGTGATTTTGCATTATTTATAACGATTGTACTGTAAACAGGAAACTCGTTAATTAAGCGTCCACATATAATCCTAGTATGAGTAATTATCTTAATAATACAATTATATTATATTAATAATATTATATAATTTTATACTACTCAAATAGTTAAAAATAAAAACACTTATTGAACTTAAAAAATTATGTTTTTATAGTTAATGATATTTTTATTTATCATTTATATGATTATAAATATTATAGCTTTGGAGCTAATCTGAAAGTTATTATTGTTTTTAAATTATGTGGTTTTATTTAATTTTTTAATTTGTATAAGCACCGGATCCACAATTTCCTTTAAACCACTGAACCGACTTCTTCATTTAGCAAGTCCTATCCTATAGCAAGTTCATAGCTATGACAAATCGTTCCTGATGATAACTTAATTTGATCAAAAATTTAAAATGTCACTTCTTTCTAGATAGTATCAAGTAAGAGACACAAAAAATGTACATATTTTTCATCTTAAAAATTCTACAAGCAATAACTTTCATATAAATAGTCGAATAGCTCAAAATTTGAGCGGAATAATCTATTAAGTTGACAAACCAAAAAAATATTTAAAAACCTTTCAACCAGTTGAGATGGAATGTTTTTCTTGATATCTCTTTATCGACCAACTTTTTTAAGTCATAAAGTCTGAAATGTTCACACAACTGGCTTGGATTCAAAAAAAGGATTCAAAAAAACACTTGAAAAAAAAAACAGACAACATGTTTCTGAAAAATATTTTTATTTTATTGATAAACGCGATCCAACGATGACAAATTATTTTTGGCAGACAACCAACCCCAATCGTATTGACCCTAATTCCAACAATATAATTTTAAGCAAACTTTTGTCATTACCGTGTGTCATTTACATATGGCTTCTTCTTGGTTTTGGATAGGAATAGGTATACTTTTATCATTTTTGGGCACAATAAAGTATTTCTGAGTTATAAAAATACTGTTAAGTTGTAATTTTGTGCTTTGGCGTATCGACAGAAATTTATATTTTTGTATGCAATGATGATTAGTTCAATGTTTGACTTACCACAAGTCTTGAAAGCAAACTCAAAAATCGATAGTAAAGAATGACCACGATCAGTCGCCCCATGATTAACATCTTCATGAACTTCGACATGATTTTGTATTAACCGACCGGCGATTGTTTTTGTCAATTATTCTTTATTTTAATTTTAATTTTCGTTATATTACCGATTGAAACACGGCTGAGCTGTACTACTGAGAGCTAATGCAGTCGTCCCACGATACCATAGACCGTGCGAACAGTGACCGTGTGTATAGCAAATAGCCACGAGCTTCGCATCACCCCTCCCTCGGGTCCGCCACAGTTATATTATTATGGTAACTGCTGAAATCCTGGCGAGTCGGTAGATGTTAAACCTGGCCCTGGACACAGGTAAAAATCAACTTTATATACTTATAGTTGCTTTAGAGTACCTATACATTTTCGTAATATAAATTTTGAACGCAGGATAGGAAAAAAATTATTCGACCTAATGACTTATTAATGACATTTTCTTTTAATTTATAGTAAATCATTATATTAATAAATATAATAAATTTCTTAATGTAGTCCCTCCTTATCTAGTATCGTGTTCAGTTTGCTCATCCTTCTCATATCATTGCATAGCCTTTGAATTGTGCGAACTCCCCGTTTCCTATTCATAGACTGATTATGTTTTTCAATTTTTTTTGTCCTGTACTTTGGACCTTTTGGCTGTGTAACATTAAATTATTATACAAATAAAAATACTTAAATTATACGTTTACCGGAGTGCATCACCATCGCACCCGAACACCGTAAATTCGACTAGAAATTCCAGTAATTGTTATTATAATTGTAAAAGTTAGTATTCTTGTCCACCTTCAACTGTAAAAAAATCATTTTTAAATAACGGCATTTTTGATTAAATAACATCAAAATAGGTCAAATTATAAATTTTATAAGTCGCCGAATTTAAATAAAAAAAAAATTGATTGCACATTGATTTAGATGTGGTAGCTGAGCAAATATAGTATTGACAATTATTTATTTGAAAAAAATAACATTTGTAATTAAATCAATTACTAAAAATGCCATTAAATAATACATTCCAAAGTTGATATCAAAAAAACTAGTTTGGGTAAAAACATAATAATTTGTGGAAAATTGAGATCACATAATATAAAAACAGTATGAAAAAAAAATTCAATTATTAATTAAACCCAGTGAGATATTAAGTGGCCCATAATAAATTAATCAACCTGTATTATTATAATAAAAAAAATGTTGCCATTTTTCATTATATATTTTGATATGATTAAAATATGAAAAGTACTTATTTTTAATTAAAATTGCTTATACATTTTTTCCTCTGTGTGAACTAAAATTTAATATATTATAGCATACGATAATATATTAAAGCTATAATTAAGGTTTATAATAGGGAATATTTGAATAATTGTAATTAAAACATTATACGATTGTAATATTTCTATCAGAACGTGGGAAATAATTTTTTATAGCAATTTTCCTTGTTATTAAACTCATAAATTATCTCTTAAGGACATTGTAGAGGTTATATTTAAATAAAATGTATAGTTATATGGATTTAAGTAACCCAATTAATTCAACATTTTATTATTTCATTTTGATTAATTATATAAGACAATAAATTGTTAATTATCATCCTAAAAAACATAACATAATACAATTATATTATAATTCGATAAAGTTCACTGAATTAAATTTAAAAAATCATCAATGATCGTAAATCTACATTTTGTACACTCATATTAGGGTTTTGTAAATTGTAATTTTTGTATTTTTGTATCTAGCCAGTGATATATTTTAGCCATGCAGCCAGTTTTATTAAATTACAATCTTTTTTTATACTAATTTTGCTACAGTTAAACTGAAAAAAAAAATCCAACAGCCCAAACCAGCAAATTATAAGCCAGCACAAAAGAAGAGAGCAAAGTTCATATTGATTATTAAGTCTCAATGTGATTTTATCACAATTGAACGCTTCAATGCGAATCTGGAAATAGTAAGGATCACGCACAGTATAAACCAGTACAGTCCGAACCAAGCACAATTCCAACAAGCTCAGTATGAACTAGAATAGTCCTAACCTCATAGCTTAAATCTCATAGCTTAAACTAGCCAGCCCAGTAAGAAATTACCAAATTGGGGTCCGGTATTAGCTTATTGAATACATTTTAAAATACAGAATTTTTTCTACACATCTTATAGACATATGTTAGGTTATCTGCAGACTTATATTCAGCTCCTAAATCCTAAAATTGCCAATACCTACCAGGAGGCGGGAAGTTGTCGTAATTTAGATTGGATTGCATGCGACCGTTTCTCGCGAAGTTATAGTAAATCAAAGCTGACGGTTGAGAGACAATTTTTTCTTGGTTTTTCTCGGTTTCGTGGCTAAAAGAGTTAACTCTCTCTTCTTATGACCCTCAAAAGTATCATCTACATATGATCCAAGTCTATAGAGGTGCTACACGAGTAATTGGTTCAACAGGAAAAAATTGATCGTGTCGACGGATAAAAAAAAAACGTTATAAAATCAATACTTTCTCAGCTATCACGTCGAAGCTAAAAATATCTAGTGATTTTATCCGAGAGGACTAGTACAGTAAAGTATAGGCATAATGAAATAAAAACAACGAGGGGACGGAGAGCCGAGAGGTCACAGGTTTACAGGAATTATTATAAATAAAAGTGATAAGATTGAATAAAATCACTTTCAAATAAACGCTTTGATGCTTATTTGTAAATACAGCACCTCAATTTAATATGTTCTTACTTTGCTGGCTTACACTGTGCATAGTTTGGACTGTATTGTCTTGAAAATACTAACTACTGATTTACATCGAAGCATTTTTTCGAAAGTGATTTTATCACTTTTAGATTTAAAAATTCCTGTAAACCTGTGACCTCTCCGTCCCCACTATGCTCCGTACCCACTATGCCTCGACCCCACTGTACTGTTTTTTTTTTTTTTTGCAAAAACATAGTGGACCAAATAACACATAATCAATGTCTTGTTAAATTTAGTTGGAATGGTCGACGATTCATGTTTCAATCGTTTGTAATCCATAGTTTAAATTATAATCGCTTATTCTCATTAAAATTAATATTTATGTATTATATACTTCCAATAGAGCAATTTGACTATTTATACTTCGTAGATTATATTTTTTCAAAGATCTATTATGCTTCTATTTTACTAGATTGACAATGTACAAAACAAAATGCAACTAAAAAAACCTTTTCATAGATCCTTAAATTGTAAAGGGTGAAGCAGTAAAACGGGCGATTTTCCCATTTAAATTGTTATAGCTGGCAAAAAATTACTTTGGAAGCGTTTCATTGATGTAAGATGAATCCATTCATAAAACCTGTTTAACATCATTTTGTATACTAATAAGATAATAGGTAAGATAAAATAGTGTATTTTAAAATTTGAATTGTAATGTTATATGTTTAATAGTAATAATATTTTCGAAATATAATTCGAAAAATATGGAAGGAAGGAACAATGCCGGTACAATGGAATACTTCTTTCCCATCTTATGCCCAATATATAAATAGGCAGATACGTTAGATTGCAGAAATTACAAGGGAATATCTTTGCTCTGCACAGCATATAAGATACTATCAAATGTATTATTAAACAGGCTAATACCCTATACAAAAGAAATAGTAGGGAGTATCAAGCAGGATTCACAAAAGGAAAATCTACATTGGATCAAATTCACATAGCAAAACAACTAATGGAGAAAAGCTACGAATTCAATCAAGACTTATTTATCCTATTCATTGACTATAAACAAGCTTATGACTCAATCATCAGAAAATCCTTGTAGGCTGTGATGCTGAAATTTGGAATCCCGGAGAAAATGGTAAAATTAATACAAACCTGCACTACAAATTCGAAATGTAGGATTAGATACAATCAGCAAATGTCGGAAGAATTCAATGTACAAAATGGTATAAGACAAGGTGATATCTATCTCCTATGCTATTTAATATAACACTAGAATATGTAGTAAGAGCTGTCCTAGAATTCAACACAGGGGTTAAAATCCAGGAAAACACAGAAGTAACTATAGTAGTATACGCAGATGTTATTATGATCGTAGCTGAATCAGAAGCAAATCTAAAAACGACAACATCAAACCTGATAGAAAAAAGTAAGGATATGGGAATAATAATAATCAATGAAAGTAAAACAAAATACATGATATTATCACACAGAATTCACAACCAAACAGAATTAGTAGTAGAAAAAACGAGATTTGAAAGAGTAGTAGCTTTTAAATACCTTGGAGTAGGTCTGGACACAACCAATGGTGGACACAATGATGTACAAAGAAGAATAACTGCAGCTAATAGATATTTTGGAATGTTAAGACCACTCTTTAAATCTAGAATCCTCTCAAAAAAGTCGAAAATAACAATGTATAAAGTACTTGTCAGGCCTATTGCTTTATACGCATGTGAGGTATGGCCCTCAACAAAAACGGATGAAAAAAGGTAGCAATATTTGAAAGAAAAATACTAAGACAAATATTTGGCCCCAAAAAGAATGAAGATACCAATGAATATGAGCGTAGAACTAATGATGACTTATATGAACTATACAAGTAACCGGACATAGTAGCAGTAATGAAGAGCAAAAGAATCGGATGGGCAGGACATGTCTGGCGCGCTGAAGGACAAAAATTAAATTATATAACCTCACGGAAACCAAACAAAAAGAGACCCTTCAGCCGACCGAGACAACGATGGAGTGACCGTGTATATTAAGACCTAAGGTTGTTAGGAATAGAGAATCCGGAAGAGATGGCAAAGGCTATATATTGCCTATACTAAGCAAAAAAAAAGTAATAATATTTTATCTTTTTTTTTAAGTGTCCTGTGTCAAGTATCTACTATATTCAGTGTTATACTTTTTAAGTTGGAACAAAATCCTTTGTACTACTTTGTAATTTGTCCCAGAATGTCAAACAAACAACTGCAAACAGTTATCATTTTTGTAATATATTGTACTGGTTACTTTATTAGATTGGTACCTAAGGTAACATAAGTATAATTAATATTAAATAATATATATATATAATATTATTTATCTAGTAGGAAGTTTAGGATTACAGAGAGGTAAGCTCTTAATATTTTTATCATTTGCTTTGATCATAACCCATATAATGCATTTATGCATTACGGATATTTTGGTTGTACTGTGCTTAATTAT